TTTCTAACTACGTTATAACATAACTTTGGTCGTCTCTTATTTCTGTGATTTGAGTTGAACTCACTATATTGTTGATCGATTTAATAGTTACTCTTGTCTCAATCACGTAACTCCTCTGACATATAGGAAAACATTTATAACTGTTTAAAGATGAACTCTCTGGGTGAAAACTAAGTAATTTTCTAAGCACTATTTATTTAATTTGGAGTCTCCTGTCGACTGGCATCATGTAACATTTGCAGGTGTTTTAAAATTGTTCTGCATATAAACTTAACTTATTTCTTAAGGCTGCACGCAGCTGACGAGAAGTTAACGAAACTAACGATGGTACCTACTTCATTCCGCGCAAACTCTTGTTCTTGCAATAAGGATAAAACTTGGGCACCATAGTAGCGTACAATTCCATTATGGATAAAATTTTATTTTGATAAAATCACACAGTGTTATAAAGTAATATATACACTGATGAACGCGTTTCGAGCACAAATTATTGTCACTCATAATCATATCAGGGTAGTCACTCACATAGCTTTTTTTCTGCGTTCATATACATGAGTGAAATTGATTATTAGATATTTGAATAACAATTAATATAGGATAATGTACATTCGGAAATTGTCAATCAAATACAATCAGATGGGAAATAAGACGAGTGTTTTTATGGTCATAATAAGTTACTTGTTAGAATGTTATGATGTACGTGAATTGAAATAGAATTTTAAGATTATTTATTATCCTCCTCTGATTTGACTGACTGGTGGTAATAATATCTTCCATATCTCTGTTATTCGAATCGAGCCATTTCTGTTGCATGTGTTGGGTGTAGACTCGATGAACCAAGCAGGGTTCAGTAATCAATCACTCTTTCCACCCATCTACCTATATTACTTCTTAGAATTTCAACTTCGTCCCACTCACCGTATTGTGTGGTTGTGTGTTAATTCATGTAGTGCAATAGCTGAGTTTTTTCTTAATTACTCATCTGTCTTTGTGGGCTCAGTCATTCTAACCTTGGTCACTAAATCCATATGTTCTGATAATCTCACTACTGTCAATCTACTAATCTGATCTATGTGGTTCACCTAACTCACAGTCATTCCATGGTATTTTGTTAATTATATTATTTTGTTAAATTGACTTCACCGGGTCCTTTAGCCTACAGAGCTTGTCTCTGAGTGAGTTTGAATGCTTGAATACCTCCCTAATTCAAACATCTAACTATAAAATCAACTTTGAAAATGTAAATTAAAATCTCTTCCCTAACTATCTCCCTCTTCACCTCTCTAAGATCTTTACATAAAAACAGTACTATTGTCCTCCACACTGACCCTCAAATGAGGACATCTAATCCATATAATCCATTCCCATTCCCCTCCCCGCTTTTTCAGTTTTACACAAAAGATACTCATTCACTTCTGCTAATTAACAAGACTGTTCCAGTTGTAATCTACTCCCCAAGGTCATTCGTACTCAACGTGAGTCTGAGTTTAAATGTGTGTTCGTTTGAGTGTTGAGATCTTAGAAAAAGTTATGTAAATATTTATTATATATATATATTTATCTCTATCTCAAGGTGTGTAAACATTATCCTTCTATCTATGAGGCTAAGATAATCTTCATATTATGTTTAAATTTAACAATATCGCTCACCGTTGTCATGGTAAATAATGTTTGACTTACAATTTGAATATAATGTATATTTGACTTTAATTCAGTACACAGAGGTGAGAAATGAGTTTTATCTAAATAATTTTTTTATTTACTATTTAATAATAGTGAATAAGTGTGGAAATAAATTAAAATTCTAGTCATATCCTTTCGAAAAATGGAGAAAATGGGTTGAGGAAGAATAGTTTCATTGCATTACGAGAGGAATGCTTTTTGGAAGTTCCAGTAGCAATGGGATGAGGCTGACAACCTCAGTTTCCATCTTCTTTCTTTCTTTCTAAGCTTACTTACTATTAGTTGAAGGATTTCATCATGAGCTGATATCTATTAGAGAACCATTGGAAAACCAGATGGGAGTACCAACATAAAGCCGTTTCATCAGCCTAGTTCAAGACTCTTCATCGGCACAAATCCACCACAGGAGATTCTGGTTAAAAGAATAGCGAGCTCGTAGACCAATAAGCCAGTGGAACTCGATCCAATGGCCCATGAATCCTAACAGGTTGAAGGTGAGGCAGTAACTCACTGAAGAAGACATTGTGAATCGGTCACGCTATGTCGTGTGTGAATCGGCAGAATCTGAGATTCATGGGCTGGTCCTTGGATCTGGTCCTAGTGGTTTAGTGGTCTACTATCTCGCCAGTCTTGTAGCCAGAAGGTCCTGTGTTCGAACCTCCTGTGGTGGGTGCACACTGATGAAGAGTCGCCAACTAGGCTGACAAAACAGCTATCTAGTAGTACTCTCAGCTGGTTTTCCAATGGTTCTCTAACTGATGTCAGCTCATGATGAAATCCCTCCAACCAGTCAAACAAAATCCCTACAAAAAACTAATACTTGAAAATTACATACTATTAGTTAGTAGACTAGGCGAGGTTTTCAGAAGTGGGTCGGCTTATAATCTAATCTAGACCTTCCACATGACTGGTGACCAGTCAACCATAGAATCAATTAGGCAGAATGAGTACTCAACGACTATTGTAGTGCGTTTTTGTAATTCCATGAAGGAAAACACAGCTTCCTGTTACATTATGATTTCAGAAAGATATTTATTAATCTACTCCTGGGTAACAGTGATGAATAGACACCAAAATCGAATGATCTAGAACCAACCAATAAGATTTTTGTGGGAGAAAAGTGGCATTTATTGAATAAAAAGTCTATTTATAAGATAAATATCTAGTAAAAATGAGTCATTAAGGGTATATATCTCAAATACCCTGCAAAAATCAGTCCCAGTTTCTCTTAGAATTGTCCGTAGATACAATAATACATTTAAGTGGCCATATATCATGTCAGTTCTGCAACTATTTACCATTCTAATACGTTTTTTCAGATGAGCCCGGAATGCTTCAACATAATTCATATGAGTTCCCCTTGTAGGATTCACTAATCCAAAAAAATGCTTGGCTTTATTACCTCTCCACTCGTATGTGGGAATGGTAGTGTCTGTGATTGTATTGGTATTAAAACATTATCACTCCTGTTTGAGATGCGTCCAAACTAAATCTTTTCGAAGGTTTGTATCGTACAGTCTCAGCACCCAAAACATAGTTTTCTCTTCTCTTACAGCGGCAATTGATTCTTCGTTTAATAAGTGCTGTTTCGTCAATGTGAACAACGATACCGATTCCTCCAAGTACAGAAGTAATTTCATTGATCTTTTGTGAGGCAATATCCCGACAGTGATGATATCATTCGACTGCTGATATTTCAGTATTCTCTATTTCTGCAGTTTCTCGATGTAAAAGAAAGTTAAATGAAGATGTTGGTTCCTATGAATGTTACGAAATTGATGATAATGGTATAGAAACCAAGTCTGAAGTTAAGCATCTTGGACTAAACGTTTCTAATGACCTATATCTGGTCTTCCCATGTCTTAGAGATTTATAAAGAATATTTCTTCTGACTGTTTACGTTAAGAAGTTAAGGCATTCATGCATAAATCAACCAACCCTTCCCGTTACAGTTTGTCGACTCGCGCATCTCACCTATTCTTCTTTACTGTTCACCATTATTCTTTCCTGGATTGCTTAAAAAGGACTATGTCATACTTCGTAGAACTCTGAAGACTGTCAGTCAGTAGGTGTCAGTGGTTTCCCATTGGGCCACATCGTTGACATTGTCACTGATAGGCACTTGATTTCAGGCAACGAATTTTCTAAAGGAATTTCATCAGAATGTGAGCATCCACTTTATCCGCAGCTTCTACCTTGTGTCTGTTCAGGTAAAACAAGAAGTCCTTACAGAAGACATGATGCACAAGCATGTCTAAGTATAAAATTTCCACTATACCATATTTGACGGCACGTTTTTTATGTGATGAAAATAGTGTTAGGCATAAACCAGCTTAACTTCTTTGCACTCCTAAATAAACAATTTTCTCCACCCTTATAACATCAACCTTTATTGTTACTGTATTTTTCATATTTATAATCCTCTCAATTTTTAGTTTTTATTTGTTGATTTTTTCATAAGTGTGTACATCAACTAAGCTGCGTTATAACTGTTAATTTTGTATTTTCCCTCAACATACTGTATCAACAGAACATTAGATTCAGTAATCTATAACGTGCTAAAATTTTCAAACTGAATCGACAATACTGTTTTGAGACAAACTCACTGTTATTATTACTATTATATTTATTATTCTCAAATTGTACTTCGAATATTTTTGACTTTATATCATAAACGTGGACAAATTCCTCTGGGTAAATTTTGTTGTAATTTTATTTATATTTTGAGTAAATCAGATGCAAGATATTGTGACAAATGCTGAGAATTCCATTCTGCATTATAAGTAGTGCTGTTTTTTGGAATAAAGTAGATTATTATTATTATGTACCAGATACTCGTCGTCTTAGTAGCCAGTTGCGGCATTTTATTAAGGCCGAGTTTCGGTTTAGATAAGAAAGTGCCTAAAAAATCACCAGCTCTGACAGACTTCCTCAAATAACAGTGACCGTATCTGAATGCACAGCCATCAGCATGTAGTCTAGTGAGGCTTCTGAAAAGTCTTTATCCCTCCACACATGCATCATTTAGTCCTTCCTATGAACTCATTCTCCGAACAAAATTTGAAAATCAAATCTCGGTGAATCTTGGAAAGAAGATTACGAACAGGATCCATTTGTAATGCTTAGCGTTCTTATTGGTCGGTTCAAGGTCATTTAACTGTGGTGTCTATTCATTATTGTTGCTTACTTCTATGTTTCGTCTCTTTTCTTCAACCATTATTAATATTTTGTTGATTTTCAGTTTCATTTGTTACATTTTTATTTTGAACTTTATTCATTCACTGAAAAGTTATATGTCTTTTTTTCTGTTTTTTCAGTATCATGGAAGGTTCCAATTCCAAAGAGGTGAGTTTATTATTGTAATTTGGCCGGTAAAAGACAACCTTTACATAACATAATAATTCAAAGTAAGTGTTTGACTGTTCTTATACATACTCACATAAATGTGGAATGAATTCCTAAGGTTAATTAACACGATGGCAAGAGAGACATTTATCAGCCTAAATTCAGCATAGAAATATACTGCGCTTGGCATAAAGATTCGGATTTTCAACGTAAATATCAAGTTAGTTAGCGCTTAAATGCGCTTTAGGTAGATAGCGCACGCATCAGCAATAGCATTTCCAACAGGTTGCTACAGTTCTTCATCAACAGCTGCCTTTTCGCGCCACAATGAAGATGAGATGGCTGGTTAGAAATGATAGGCAACTAGCCGACCAAGACCCTAATATCCAACAAATAAACGGGAGGAAATGGAGATGGATTTGGCATACGGCATGGAGGCCAATGAGTGACATCGTTCAATAGGCAAACACTCGATTGCAACCCGAATCGGAAACTACGAGTTTCAAGTCACTGTGAGAGTGACATGGAGAGGATCGTGTGAGGAACAGGTGAGAACCTATGGTAAATCGTCGCTGCTAGCCAAACACAGCTGCAGAGAATGAAGATGTGTGTGTTGAGGCCCTGTATTCCACTCGAAACTCCAGGGAATAATAACGATAATAGTGAGATGATTTGGTGATGGGATCGCATGATTTTGTGCTAGAAACAGTCGCATGTCCCATCACGTGCCTACTGTACACTGATTCCACTTGTTAAGATTCTGTCAGCAGAACGCATTAAAACTAAGACCCATAGATGCCATCTCTTATCACAAATTGTGTGTTAGTCAAGCTGAGAAGAGTTACCCTTCAGTTTCAAAAATTAATGAATGTACAAGTTTTCTTATTAACTCCATACATTTATTCTCCATTATGAAGTTGAATAAAGCACGAACAACAGTAGTTTGTGAAGAATAAAGTGGCACTGACATTTATTCTGTCGGCTTCTCATAGGCTCAGCTGAGTACAGCCTAAAGATGTTATCATCAAGCTGATGTAAAGAAACAGTATCAACATACTCATCTACAGAGTTCAAGTTTAAACAAAAAATCAACGCATGAACGCAATGGTGATAGTAATACTTGTAGTGATCAACCTATTCCAAACCATACAGGAGGGAGGATAAAGGCATCCAGTTGACAGGGTAAGGAAACAATGATGACAGTTTCTTTCTGAACAAAGAAATCAGGTTTCACGAGTTTGATGGAGATTGCTTCGAAAAACTTGAAGAAAAGTGAACTATCTGGTATATTGACCAGTATCATGGAGAATACATTCTGATTCTCGAAAAGATGTCGAAAAACAACGGTTGCTTTCAAGGATTCATTTAACTGGTACAGAAGATATGAAGGGTCAGGTGTAAAACAATTCATAGTGAGAAAGAAAGTCTATCTTCATTCAGCTGGATTTTCAAGGTGATTGTTGTTGAAGGAATAGGCAATAGAAGAGTGCAAACGTCACTAAGCAGGACCCGTCCTGCAGCCAAGTTGGTTACCGTTTATCAGACAACATGTCAATTCGTGCAGTCAGAAGTTGACAGATACTCTTCTCGTGTTAACTCTAACCGTGTATACAAATCAAGTGTATTTCCGGTGGCAGTTACATTGGGAAAACACAAAGAAAGGGAAACTGACTTTCTGAATATATGCCAAAACATCTAAGTCTCATGGGAATAGACGCTTTCAGTAGTCTTATTGCCAGGCATATCCTTGATACCAGTCAGCATACAAAATAGTTCACTTTTCCTCAAATTTGTCGAAGCAATCTCCTTCAAACACCTGAAACCTGATTTATATGTTCAGAAAGAAGCAGTTATAATTATTATCGTTTCCTTTAGTTCCAAGAGGAACATAGGGCTTCAGCCGAACGCCTACATTGCGTTCGGCTCTCTTCCAACGTTTTCACCTGGCTCGACGTCTGCCCGAATGCTTTCATCTCCTACTCACATGAACTCCTCCATGTCACCCTTGGACGACCAAGTCACTGCTTCCGACTCGGGTTCTACTCGAGGGCCTGTCTAAAGATGTCACTTGATGGTTTGTTATCTCGGAGTATGCTCAATTCACCTCCATTTCTTCCTGCATATTTGTCGCACAATCGGTTCCTGGTTGGTTCGCTCATTGCCATAGATCCCTATTGCTGATCTTTTCTCGCCAGCCATCTGATCTTGAGCAGAGTATTGAGCGAATACAGCTAGCTGTTGAAGAAGGTCAGTAGTTTGTTCGAAGTGCCCTTCGTGATGCACAGTGCAAGTCTCTGATCCATATAGTAGCGCTGACTGACTTCACATTGAAGTTAAAAATCCGGATCTTATTTTTCATGCTGAGTGCTCTGTTGATCTCCACACAGACTTGAGAGTAATGAAAGCTTGCCTTGGCTTCCGGATACTTGCATTGATATCCTCGTTATTAGTCTGTCATTATTCTGGTAACCGGATGACTTCATTCTCTCCTTCACTAGATTATGTGACGCTGAAACTTCCATTCGGTAGGATTATTGTTGTTTGGAATAAAGTGACTTTTACTCTTATTATTTTTACCATTGTATGAATGCACCGATTTTTCGCCTAAGCTTGAACTCTCTGGTTAATTATGTTGATATTATTTCTGGACATAAACTTAATGATAATATCTTCAGGCATTACTCAGTTGAGGCGATCAGAAGCCAACAGAATTAGTGATGGTTTCACTTTATTCTACACAAGGCATTGTTGTTCTTGCCTTGTTATTGAGTTTTGTATGACTCAGTGTTTGTGTATTGGCCTGTCTGAAGATTGATAAAACGTAAGAATTCATGTTTATTGACATTATAGGTCCAATGCTACAAAAGTTGTCGAAATATTATCTAAACAGGTATCAACATAGATGAAAACTGGCTAACAGACCACTGAAATTCAGTGAATACCTAAGAAGTATCTCGTTCTACTAGAGAGTTCCATGATTTTGATAAAACCGCTTCATTGTTTAAGCCTATTTCTGCTGAGGTTGTGGAAAATACCCTCCAGGACAATAACATCAATAGGACAAGAAGCTCAGAAAAGATTTTTTTTTCTCTGATTTTTATATTCAAAAGCCGTACAGCAACCTTTTTATACATAAGTTTATAAAATTACAGTTCTTGTCTAATTCAACGAAGTAACGAAGGGAGATTGGAGGTGATATTAACATTTGAAGGTGTGAATCACAAGTAGCATATAGAGAAAATTACACAGGATTAAAAGCAGTTGCGTAATATGTAAAACAGTTTTTAACGAAGACATCCGTGGAACAAATAGTAATAATTTTCCGTACAAAGGCAACAAATAAGCAGACAAACAGAACTAGAAATATGGTAAATTTAGAGGTTGCAATAGCTACTTTTGAGCACAACTTCGTCTTCTCGATGCTTTTGATGTAGCTGTGTTCTCTGACCTAGCTGGATGATTTATTCACGAACTTTTCATTGCTCTATAAGGCAACATCTTCAATTTGAATTGAAGTGAGCTTTTAGACTTCTCCATGAGTTTATTAGTCATCTCTCCTGGTGACCAACTTGAGCTTGATTGGTTATTTGTGTGTGTTTTCACAACTTCCAGGCTACTAGTATTAGTATTGATTGTTTCCTTAACTTAAACTTTGACCCTTTGTGTGTGAGATTTCCTTCTCATCGATTGGCATATCTTTCTATGCCAATGTGTCTATTAATTGAAGATTCACTGGAATACTAAGCTTCTAAATATTCTACAGCATTCGTGGTGTTTCCTTCGTCTAATACCTGAATGTTTTCACAGTCAAATTGATGTTCATGGTTGTCTTGTTGATGTATATAGCTAGCTATCAACAGCTTCTGCAATACAAAGAAGTTGGAAAAACATTCACTTTGGTAGATTTTCGTTCACTTTGTAAATGACGAGTCAGTTGAGATGCTGTGTCACCTGTTGTGTGTTCAGGATGAAATCCCTGAAAAGATTTCTTTACTAGGCTGTTGGGACTGTTGATGACCACGTACACGGTCCAGGGTTCGATCCCCTGCCGACTCACAACTGATATCAGTGGTTGGCCTCCTAAATTTGGACTACCGATGTCACATGCTTAAAATTCCTTATATGTATCAAAAATACGCTGTGGAATCAAGCTTTAATCAATAAAAATTATTCCCATAGTAAAATTTAGAACAACACATTTAAGCGAACAATATTGCTGTTTTCAATTAGATCTCATCAGCCTTAACTCTGATATACATAAGTTTACACATAAAATTCAAATATAAACCAATCATGGTGTTTTGTCTATAGGATAATACGATGGTGAATATAAATTGTGCAATTAGTCATAATAGTAGTAATGATAATAATAATTATAGTAATAATAGAAATGGTCTTATCAATAATAAGGATGAAAAAGTGAGGCAATCTGTGATAACACGAATAATGAAAAACAGCATGATTAAACAAACAACTGTTCAGGTGGAAGTAGTCGATAAAGGCTAGTAAAAACAAATGAACCGACTGAGTAATGTTAGATTGTAAGGGAAGGAAATGAAACACGTTTATAATGAAGATAAGATTAAGGGATGATAAGAAAGGGGATGAAAATACAAACAAAGGGTGGTGTAGAAGTTATTAGTTGGTTACGTCCTAATAGGCCAAGGGAGGGATAAAGGCTGTACAAACTTCTTTTGAATACATAATGTAGGTTTAATAGTTCGAAGAATGTGTCGAAACTGAACGCTATCCCAAACTATATTGGAGGTCGTTAAGACGAATGAGGATTTATCCTAATCCTAAGAATTTAAAAAGACATGCTCTTAATCAGATTGATTCTGTTAAAACTCTTATAAATGATCTAGAAAGGAACATATCACAAAGACAATTTTCAGTTGATGATTTACCTCAGGAATTACAATTGATGTTCACTGAATATGTTAATAACGTGACAGTAAACAGAATTAATTATAAAAGGATAAGTCTTGTCAAATCTCTCG